GTGTGGGGGATTCGCTGTTTCAAAAAGAATGAGAGGAGCGGCTCCGAGCCGGCCGTGTCCCACCACGCTTGGCTTCCCGAGGGCAGACCCGTGTTTAACCTCCGAAGGGCGAAACACTGAGCGTCCTTCCCCGCTTCACGAGCTTCCTCCGAGCAGGTCGCCGCAGCTCTGAGTGCAGAAAGGAGGATTTCGGCTTCTGAATCTGTTTGGTTTTCAGCCGCACGCTTCCTTCGCGTGCGCTCCTCACATGACGATGACCAGGCAGCCCACGCTGCCGCCGACAGCTTCCCCTGCTTTTCGCGTGACCCGCTGCCCGGGCAGAGCAAGCCTGCAGCTTGGCGTGTGTTTGCTGCATGATTCTGAGCTCCAGCGCCTGAGCTTGGTCTTCCTCTCTGCCCAGGGCGTTTTTCTGGCTGGTGTCGCTGCTCCTGGCGTCTCTGATCTGGTTCGTTTCGGTTCATCTCAGCGACCAGGAGGATGCCAAGCTGCAGTACGGCCTCCTCATCTTCGGGGCTGCCGTCTCCGTCCTGCTGCAGGAGGCTTTCCGATTCGCCTACTTCAAGCTGCTGAAGTAAGATCCTGCCTGCGGGCGGCCCGTTCGTGCCACGTGGGGCCGGGTGACCTGTGCTGGTAGCTGCGATCCCTCTGCTTTTTGTCCGGGGATCCCCACAAAGCATCTTCCTCGTTAGATCCTGGGAGAGAGCTGTTCCTCCTCGCCCCAGGCTCGTTTATAACTACCCCCTCCCCTCTCCTGCGTGATGAGGCCCCTGTTCCGTGCTAGCCGCTCACGCTTGCTCTTCCGCCTGAGCAGGAAAGCGGATGAAGGCCTGGCGACGATCAGCGAGGATGGCCGGTCCCCCATCTCCCTCAGGCAGATGGCTTACGGTGAGCACGGACCCGGACAGGGCTTGGGCTGTTGCTGACCTCCCCGCAGTCTTCGCGGCTGCCTGGCAGCGGGATGCTCGGGTATCGGAGACCGGCGGGGGGGGTGAGCCCGCCGGGCTAACGCAGCCTTCCTGGTTCCCTTTCCCACTCTCCTGCCTTTCCCTGAGCCGATGCGCGAGTCTGGGGCTCGCGGCAGAAGCAGCGTGGCTGCGGTCGGTCTTGGCTGACTCCCTTCTCCCTCCACAGTCTCGGGCCTGTCCTTCGGCATCATCAGCGGCGTGTTTTCCGTCATTAACATCCTGGCAGACTCCATCGGGCCGGGAATCGTCGGGATCCACGGGGACTCGCCGTACTACTTCATCACGTCCGGTGAGGCTGGGGACCGGCGCGTGCCGCGGGATCGTGCCCGGCAATGCCGGTTAGAGCCGGAGTCCGGCCCCAGCGCGGGGCCCTTCACTGCGGTGAGGAGGAGGAAGGTGGAGGCGAGGTCTGAGGGGGTCTGTGTCTCCCTCTTCCCCCAGCGTTCCTCACCATGGCCCTCGTCCTGCTCCACACCTTCTGGGGAGTGATCTTCTTCGACGCCTGTGAAAAGCGCCGCTACTGGTGCCTGGGGCTGGTGGTTGCCAGTCACCTCCTCACCTCGGGGCTGGTGAGTTTGATGAGCCAGAGCCGACCGGACCTGCACCGAAAGCTGTCCCCGAAGTGAAGCCGTTGTGGCCGTCATCGGACGCTCATCTGGGTGCGGGGAGGGGATCGCGGGGACGCCCGCTGCTGCGTCAGCCTCCCTAAATCCCTGCCTCTGAGCTTGGGACGAGTCGCGGCACCGCCCGCCCGGGGCAGCCTGTTGGGGTGCGCTCGGGGAAGGCGGGTTAACGAAGGACTGGGGGTCGGAGGGAGGATTAGCCGCTAAGCTTCTGGTGGGAAACCGCTTGGCAGGAGTTTAAGCCAGGCTTACGGGAGCCTGGCTCCCCTTCCCCCCGCCCCAGCTGTTTAGGGGGGGTTGTGGCAGGCAGTGACGTTCCTAATGTGGCGCTCTCCGTCCCCCAGACGTTCCTGAACCCCTGGTACGAGGCCAGCCTGGTCCCCATCTTCATCATCACCCTCTGCACGGGCCTCTGGGCCTTCTTCACCGCCGGGGGCTCCTTCCGCAACATCCTCAAGTGCCTCTCCTGTAAGGGGGGGCCGGGCAGGGAGGGGCGATGGGGGGCGTCACCGCTGCGACGCGGGGGCTTTGCTGGTGGGTCTCTGTCCCCTTTTAGGTGTTGGGGGGGCTGGAAACGGGTGGCGGGGGGGACCAGTCGTGGCGGGGACGGGGGG